AAATCATTAAAATCTGCGTGGCATTGTTGCTGATATAATTTGAGAGAATTATCTTATTTTTCTATCGCAATTTTTATGTTGGTTTCATATCGCGTCAAAGGGAAAAATGTATGACCATGAATCGTATTTTTTGCATCGGTATTAGAGAAACATTACAGTTTCTCTCAATTCTTAGATGTATTACTCTCAATCTGCCTTAACTGCCTTCGAGTAATTCCGCTAGTAGTATAAAATTCCCTAACTGCAGTAGAAGTCGTTATCAACAGTTAGGAATACGTAAGTCTTTTGTACTTCACTGGCCTTGTCTTGATAGATATCGGATAGTCAGTAAAGATAAAATAACTAATATCGAAGGAAGGTTAAATGTCATAATAAGGCAACGGTTCTCAAACTTCCGTTTTCCATGAATATTATGGACTTAACATTAGTTATACACCATACCTTTGCTTTGGCATAAAAACGGAATAACTGCATCAAATTCTGGGATATCGCTTGCACGCGTTTACGTCTGCCCAGTGCTGAAAACCAGTCATAATGAGCGTTTATTTTACTGCCGGAAACTCGGGAACGCTTGAAATTCTGATAATGAGGTAAAAACCTGTGTTGATGTAGTACATCTTACTAACGGTGCCAGCAGCTAACTGAAGTGCGGAAATACGGTAGCGGTCAACGTCTGTCGTATAACAAACAACACGTAAAATCTGTTTTGCGAATTTCAAGTGTCTGCGGATAAATACTGTCAGTTCGTTCTTTTATTGTTAAAGTGGACTTTAACCTAGACGTGATCATCGTTACCATTTGTTTCCCTGAAACACATGAATGAATATCAGAACTTTTTCTTTAGTTATTTTTATAGTCACGGACATTTATCCTTTATCTGTACCTAAAGAAAATATTCCTTTTATTAAAGATAATAAACATTAGGTTCTTCGCTTACCTGTGTTGTCTCCATGTACACTGCGGAAAAAAAAATCTACAGGTTTCAGATTACGTCCAATGGGGCGTTGGCGTTTTTATAACGTTTTGTGTGTTACCTTTGTTTATTAAATATCATGTTTTTTTTTTTTTTTTTTTTTTTTTTTTTTTTTTTTTTTTTTTTTTTGCACTTAAATTTATTCAATAGTAATGTCGCAAAATAATCAGCATATCTTTAGATTTTCCGATACACAGTTCCGCACGCTGGAGATAAAACGGTTTCAGTAGAGTATTGCCATTGCTCGCTTTGAAATCCTTAAGTTTGTTAATCAAAATTTCCTTAAAGTTTTTACAAAATAGGAAATCGATCATGAAACGAATTCCAAGTTTCAAATTTGGTCTTCCACATGCCCATATTCGTAGGAGGATTACGTCATTCAAAATTCGATGGCTCTGTGTACCGTTGTTTTATCATAATGCGAGAAATAGACATACATTTATGCAGATTTTTCATTATTTAATTTCTTCAAGTGTAATGCAGGACTCTAACATTTGATGGCAACAGTTTGAAAAGTGAAACGAACATTTAGAGTGATTCAACGTAAAACCGCAAAACGAAAACAATAGTCCTTCAGGGACAAAACGTTTTAGTTTTTGGACTAAAAAGGGACAGTTTTATATCACCCGTTCTACTGGGCCGACTGATAATGAGTTCAAATTGCGTTTTTCATGTCTCGAAAGTGCGACTTAGGAAATATATTAGATTTATATATAGCATTACTCTAACATATGTATTTTGACCAAAAAAATCGGCATTTTTCTGAATTAACATACCATTTGTTTTCCATATTTCGATTCTAACTATGCCTAAATATTAAATTTTGTCAAATTTGGTGCGAAATTTACTAAGAAATTCAAAAATTTATCTAGGCGCAATTTTTTCCGATTGCGACACGTATAATTTACTTGGCGAACTTTTTAATTTATAGCAACCTATGTTCCTTTCCATTTGTTCATTATAGACGAGCGGAAAAAAAGTCATCATTCATACTTTCAAGTACATTTCACAAAGTGCGTAAACCACATTTGGCGTTATTATGGCTAAAAAAATGTCAAATTTCAAAACGCGCCAATATGTAAATTCATGTATATCTTAGAAAGTTTGAATAAAAACTCTACTTTTTTTCAGCTATGCCTAGAAGTACATATACTTTAAAATGATGTTAAAAAGTTTATAGGTTATAATAAAAAAAAATTTCGAAAAATGTATAAAAAGTATTTAAAAATACAAAATTTCAACATAAATAATAAAAAAAAATTACGAATTATACTAAGCCTAAATTTTAAATTATGGAAGAAGGAATTATTAATTATTGGAAGAAGGAATCAAATAAATTTAATAAATTCAATTTACATTGAGGAGCTAAAATTTTGAGAGCTAAATTTTAAAAACTACTCGTTATAACCAAAACTACCATAAAAAAAGACTCACTTTGTTTTTTAAAACAGTTTTAATTAACAAAACACAATTAAGATAAAACATTACAATTAAGGGCGTTATAATTACACATTTAAGTTACAAAGAGTTACAATGTAAATCTCAGGGAAACAGCATTCTTAGTGTCTTGAGTCCAGCACATCGACTTACACAACTGCCCCATTTTTTCCGGCAGTTTACTATCCTGCAAACAAAAGCATGAAATTAATTATATAATTTAGAAAATATAAAACACAGCCCTCTAAAGCTTGATATGCATTGTTATCTTCTAAATCCCGGTAAAATACAAGTTACGGAAACTAAAAGTTTCGAGAATAGTAATATAAATAAATAAAAGGAAAATGAAAATGAAATCTTAAAAGGTTCAAATTTTAACGATCGCACAAAAGAGCTCTTGTAAAGTTTAATATGAGTTATCTGTAGAAATCATTAATAGAGTTGGCACAGTGAGAATGGCGATACAATTTTAGGATATTCCATGGATATGGATGTATACTGACATGGAAGCATTACATATATTCGATATATTTAAAAAAGAAAAATATGAAATTTAACTCCATAAAAATATTTAAAGTTTTTAATTACATAATTATAAGCCAAATGTATTTTTATTTAAATCAAATAGATCAAAAAATAATATTTTTAATTAGCATATATATTGCTTTTTAAATACGAATAGTTTAGTTCTTTAATTAATAACAGACGGATTAAATGTGAAAGAGTGAAATCTTAGGTACTTCCGAATGACAAAAGACTCAAAAGAAATAACGTAAAATCGTGTTTCAAGACCATTAACCTTTTTGAGCTAACAAAATATGTAAATTTCCGATTACCTGGCGTGCTTCAGAAACATAACTAATGCTAGTTATTATTATTATTATTATTATTATATGTTGTTGTACTGCAGAGACACCGGGTAAATATTTAATTAAATTCCAGATTTTAATTATAAGCATACATACGAAATCAATTTTTTTCGATTATCATTTCTTCCTTTAACATACAAGTACTTATCATAAAAATATTACAGTTAAAAAATTCCTCATAAAATTTCTAGAAGCAGGTTTAAAGCTCATAATCTTAATTCATATGCAGCATAAAGCTTTAGGACATAGTTATTAATTTTCAAAGACGCTTAGAAATGTTAATAAGAGCAAAGTTTTTAAATAGTAATCAAGTAGAGATATTAACTTAAAAATTCCTGACGGCAGTATTCAAATTCAGTAATGTGAGCTGGAATTTTTCTCGAGAAAAGCTTTCTCAGAACATAACATAATTTAACATAAACCGGTGTTTTTTAAACGTCATAGCATAATTAATTATGAACTGCAGCAATATAAACTAAACAAAGAATAAAATTATTTGCATACTGCAAAAACTTCATTATGTAGCTGGCTATCAATTAATCATTTTATTCGATGATATATTACTTAACTTTACTTAATTAAATTAAATTATATTTTTAATATTTACCCAGAATTCTCAGAAAACAAAAAACAGTAGAATTTACAATTACTTTCATCTTGAGTGGAAGTAATATATGAGAAATTAAGTAGTGAATTGGCAACAAAGACGACATAATTTCTCAAAAAACTTGGGAACATTGTGTTTCTGTTCAATACAACTTTGCGTGTGTATTTAATCAAGTGAGAAAGAATAGACTGTAGCACCGCGGGTATGTTTCAAGGCACCTACTTTGATATGCCATCAGGAATAATAATAGGCATATAATGTAAATTAATGCACGATTTTGTTTTTGAACAAATGCGTTTAAAATTGCCGCTTATAACCGCTTAATTGTTGGACGATATTTATAAGAATGCTTCCTAATTTGACCTGTTTTACCTAATAGCTAATTTTATTTCTTAATTACTAGAGATCTTTGGAAGTGAACGAAGTATAGTTTCATAAAAATTTGAACATAAAACCTATTCAACTCTCAGTGCACCTGATGCCGAACCTCAAATTATCTTCAAGATAATTATAATTATTGAGATACTTTTGTGTGTAACTGTTATTAATCATTGAAACTGATGAATCATTGAAACTTGATAACTGTTATTAATATTGAAAATTAAGATTAGTATACTTCTCGCAGTTCATTTTATAACAGATATTTTGCGTGACACTTGTTTACGAAAAAAATAACGTTTCACTGTCAGCGCATGACGAAATTTTTAAATCTGAAGGAAAGTAAACATCGCACACGTGAATCACCCCTCAATTAAGCAGGGCTAAAATGCGTCACTCACATAGACCCAAAATAGCACTACAGTACCTAAAAATAACAGCCATCTTGCCGACCTCTTCGTTTATATACGATACAATACGGCATCGAAGAGAAAAGATTAAAAATAGTTCAATGCACCCCTTTCAAAACGGAGTGCACAATATAAATCGCTGTTGTCCAGACATTTCTGAGTTTCGAATAACTCAACCGAATACTGACCAGTCGTCTACAGTATAAAGTCTTCTTCAGAAAGCTAACTCTCTTTACACTTGACACTATTTTTCGAAACTGTGGCAGTGACGTCATGAAGTGCTCCACTCTGGGATCCTCAGAGGTAATGATGCGAAAAGTTTCTTGCTTAAAGTGACCAGCGTAATTTGTAAGTAATAAGACGTGTTTGTTGATTGGAACTGTTAATATACTTAACAATGCGTTTGGTAAAGCTATTGCGGTGCGTGGAAAATCAAGATTTTAATGATTCTTCAACTACCTGCTGTAAGTAAATATAAAATAAATTCCCAGTTATTTTATGTCTTTAAAAAGTGTGATAATTTTAGCCGAATATTTGACTTCTCATTAAGAAATCATTTTATATACTCTGCCTGTGAATTATTAAATGCAGTTTTATTTGCTTGAATAATTCGGTTGATATGCGCTGTAATATTTTTGCTTAAATACCAGACCTTTTTAGTGTCTTTGAATGTGTAATTTAAAAATTCCTATGAAAATGTCATATTAATGAATTGTTTTTAACGAAAAAATAACTGAGAGTTTTTGAATTATATTTGCCCTTTCAATAGTTAGCCGGTACTTGCCGGTGTTCCCAATTAGGAACACATAGTAAAATATTTGAAATATTTATTAGTTTTTTAATTTTACGTAACAGATCATTCCTTTCAGTACCCGTTTTGTATAAAACTGCCTATTGAAATACTTTGTTTCAAAAAATAATATAATATATTCAAAAAATAAAATAATATATTTTATTTATTGTATCCTTTATTTTTTTATGAATTTCTTTTTCATTATTTGTTAAATAATAAAAGAAATCCATAAAAAAATATATTATGTATTACATATTTATTTTACTATATTTTTATTATCCCAAAGAGGCAATTTGCCCAGAAGGACTATTTAGGATTTTGCGGCGACCACTCTAAAACGGCGTTTTATTTTTCAAATTGTTGCCACCAAATATTAGAGCCCTGCCTTATATTTATAGAAATGAAGGAATGAAGAATCTGCATAAATGTATGTATGTGTCTCGCATTGTGGAAAAATGACGGTACCTAGAGACATCAAATTTTGAGTAACGTAGGCCTCCACTTGAATATGGGCATCTAGAAGCCCAGATTTGGAACTTCAAATTTGTTCTATTATCTATTTCATATTTTGTAAAACTTTAACGAATGCTTGATTAACAAACTCAAGGATTTCAAAGCGAGCAATGGCAACACTATAAAAAAAATATCTCGAACGCGCGAGACTGTGTATCGGAAATTCTAACACTATTCTCTTTTTAAATATTTTGTGATATTGCTGTTGAATCGAATATTATGTTTCAATTGCCAAAAACATGATATTTAGTAAATAATAAACGTTAATTTAAAATCTGAAAGCATTCAGATTTTTTGCTTTATTTATTTATTTATTGATATTTATCGTAAATAGACATTTTAGGGCACTTCTAGTTTCTTTTAAGTTTATTGATGCGGAAACCATAGAAACTAAATTAAATATTTTCTTATTAGCCGTTCAGACGGTTTATTGGTTAGAGATGCATGACTGCGATACCAAAGGGTCCGGGTTCGAATCCCGGAGAAGGCAAGGATGTAAATTTATCTGTCTCATCATAGGAGGTAACGGTAGCCGCCTATTAGATGCCTCTACAATAAAATGGCCATCACTTAGTAGAGGCCAATCCGTTATGGGCAAGTGTCCGCCATCGGGGGAAAAATCTTATTAATTCTTAACGACTGTAATACGAACGTGCAGTGCAGATGAATTCAAAGAATAGTGTGATCTATTCCCAAGTGGTTAAAAAACCCCAAATCATATTTTATATGAAAACCTTTTAGTTGCCTTTTTCTAAATAACAAACGGAAATGAAAAAGAAATTTTAAAACGAAATAAATAAATTAAATACAAAATTGCAAATTTCTAGTTCTATTTGTATATAACAAGTCACGAACTAACACACGAACAAGTCACAGTACGTTGATTCGATGATAATTATAAAGATAATTCATTATTTCTAAACATTTAACAAAAGCTAACAGCACTGCAAAAAAAGTTATCTGTTCATTTAGAGATAATATAAATAAACATTATAAGTTACCAAAAACTGCTGAAGTTGCTGAGGAAAAAAAAAAAAAAAAGAATTTGCAAGAAATATGACAGAAAACAGGGAAAACAATTGAGTAAAATAATGCAAGGCATTCCACTACAAAGCTAACAACATTTTCTGACAGATACGATAGTATCCCTCATCTCTACTTAACATCTTTCAAAAACTTATTGAAAGTGGCAATTTTTCTACTATGTTGCATTATGTTCGTTACTGTAAATAAAAATTCATCTGTAAACTTTAGCTGCAGTTTTACTTTTCCATAATTTTAACTTTTAAGAATCAAGTTTTTTAAATTAATATCTACATATTCAAGGTAAATGTTAAATTTTAGCTGCAGTTTTACTTTTCCATAATTTTAACCATAACCATAATTTTAAGAATCAACTGTTTTAAATCAATATCTACAGTGTCAGGGTAAATGTAAATTTTAGCTGCAGTTTCACTTTTTCATAATTTTAACTTTTAAGAATCAACTTTTTTAAATTAATATCTACACTGTCAAGGTAAATGTAAACTTTTCCATAATTTTAACTTTTAAGAATCAACTTTTTTAAATTAATATCTACACTGCCAATGTAACTGTAAACTTTAGCTGCAGTTTTACTTTTCCATAATTTTAACTTTTAAGAATCAACTTTTTTAAATTTATATCTACAAGGCATAACTATCCTATTCAGTAGAAAATTAGTATCTAAGTGATATAAAATTATGATATAAGCCTTACCGTATATCATCGGGAACAGACTCGACAAGAATCAGAAGTTTCTTTTGATAGTTGTTATTAATGCTCACTTGTCTGACCTGTAGTCAGCCCAAGCCCACAAAATTCCTCGTGGGAAGGAGCGCAAATTTAAGCTTGTTGTTGGCAACAGCCTTGAGCGTCATACAGGTGACAGCGCGATTTAGCTCAGTTCGGCCCCCAAATTTTGATGGAGAGAACCACGGGGGGGCGGGTCCAAGGGTCTCCCATCCTTCTTCCATTACCATCAACCTCTCGAGAGGACGTTTGGTTGGCCGCATAATTAGAGTGCCCCATGCCTCACGGACACTAAGCATTTACAAATATCCATGCGGTCTCTAAGATTCGAACCCTGGCCCTTCGGCACAGCCTCCAACGACGCTAACCACTATTACTTATTGGGCGGCTCTTTTGGTTGTTTTTGACTGAAAGTATTTTTACCCTGGTCATTTAAAGAGCCACCAGTTAAGCTCAATAAAGAAAATTTGCTGTCAACAATTAGCAACCAGCATGGGGCTTTACAATAGATAACAATCGATTTTTTAATTGATTATCAATGTTCTTTATTTATTACTTGTATAAAATGTTTTCGTATAATGTACTGCATACATTCCATAAAATGTTGGTCTTTACAGATTCTCATTATATATTGTAGCTAATTTGTCAAGTGGAGTATGTAGCTGCAGGACATACACACACAGGCGTGTCATCAATGTAATTAAAATTCTGTAAGAATGATATAAGTAAAATCTAATTGAATTTTTTACCTTTCGATAGTTGTTTTTTATTTGGGCTGCGCCCGCTACTGATACTCTTCGATAGAGGACAGCTTGCTCATTAATTATTGAAGCAGATTGATAAAAACTAGCACAAATGTGTACTAAAATTTTGTTTAAATTACTAAAACTTCCGTTGAAAATTTTTTAGCAGTTCCTTGAAAAAGTTCACAAGGATTGTGAACTGGTTTTTGTGCTACATTTTGTTTTGAAATTACCTCTAATTATTTATTCTCTCACTTCCAGGATTAATAGCCTGGTTTGCCCATTATGATATTTTCAATCCAACTCAATGATTTGTAAGCTTTGTTTTAGAACCAAATGGCTATCCTGTATCAAAAACTAAAAATTTTCATTTTACCCTCTTATATATATATGTTATTATGAAAAAACTGAGAGCCTTGAAGCATTTAAAGCATCTGTGCTAAATCAGAAATTTTTCAAGAAGGTATCCCTCTCCTTTGGTATGTAACCGTTGATTGCTTTGCTGGATTGACAGAATTATTCATTTAATTCTGCTTAATCATATTAGGGTACCTGAATAGAAGGATATCTTTTTTCTGTTTATATTTTAACAATGTGGATTTAAATGATTTAGCATTCCTCCCTTTTTTTTAAATATGTTTTGAAAAAAAATTTTTACATTGAGATTTAATTACTATCTTGATTTGGCTGTCATTAACACTTTCTAATGAAAACTGGCTGACATTTACATAATGCATGAATAAAAGCGTGAAAACCCATTCAATCTCCAAGACTAGAAACTGACGGTAAATTATCAGGTTTTTCAGACTTTAGCCGATAGACCACTTTGCCCAATTAACCGATTCTTAAAAAGAACGTTTTCTGCTAAAGATGCTTTGATCTTCAAAATGATGGCGGTCCCTAAGGAATTAATTTTAAAAAAACGTAATTGGCATTTAATGTAAGATATTGTTAGGAAAATACTGTAAGCTGTAAAGGGGGATGCGACATCACTTCCCAACTAAGATTCAAGAATTTCATACGTGTTGTTAAAAGATGCGTAAGGCCTCGCACTGTGGTAGCAAAATACGATTCCTTTGCGAATTTCCAATCCTAGCCGTTTTGCTTTGATTAAACTTAACTCAGTGGCTCAACAGCCCTAGTGGGCCACGGCCTGCAGTGCCCCGAAATCTGCTTTCTTGACCTTGGGCCCCGTAGTGCACCAGCATATGCCCTGGGCAAGTGGTCAGCTTGTCGCAGGACCCTCGGTGTTTAGTCCCCAACCTTACTAGGTACTCATTTTATCGACTCATTCAAGGGATGAAAGGCTAAGTCAACCTTGCCCAGCCCCGGGATCGAACCGCGGACCTGTGGTGAAGCTGTGCGACCCACCTTAGCCACTTTTTCTCTTTGATTGCTTCCACCAGTTTCATAAGTTTGTTACAGTAAGCATCTGAATTGATTATTTGGTTACTTAGTAGCAGCTCAGAATGCACAACACATTTGCAATCCTATACGTAATTGACAGCATGATCTTTTTCTGATGCACTTGAGCTTTCGATATGATTTGTTTTGATTCATCATGCTTGGACCACGATCTTTTTCGGTTAATGTTATTGTCGACGATCCATTTTTCATCAACAGTGATAATTCGTTTCAAAAAGGGTAGGTTGCATTACGTTTGAAATGCGCATCACAACTATTGATTCGTTGTGTTAAGTCAATTTTTTCAGTTCATGCGGTTCATGCTTCTTAACAAATCCAAGACACTTTATGTGATTTCCAATTGTTGTGTATGATATATTTAACCGCTTTGCAATCTCTCGAACAGTTATATGACGATTAAATTCAATTACGGCTTTAATTTTGTCTCCATAGACTTCAAAAGATCGGCCAGAACACTGGTCATTTTCAAGTAAAACTCTCCTGAACGAAATTCTTTAAACCTATTCTATCACATGTGTTCTGTTAAGCAATTAGCGCAATAAAATTCACATATGTCTTTGTGAGCCTCAGCCACCTTCTTGACTTTATGAAAATAAAAAAGTAAAATATATCGAAAATGTATTTTTTTGCTCCCTTTGTTAAAACTGACCATAATCTAACAGTTTATAGAAAGCCACAGTTTGTTTCTGTAGCAACTTAAATGTATCAAACCTCAAAAGGAAAATTATATAAGACTGTAGCTGCCAAACCTCAAAAGAAAAATGATATAAGACTGACATAAGAACAATAAAATGAATATAACGCTTGTTTGTGCAAACCGAAATTACTTTCTTGGCAACCCAATATTTATATAATCAAGTAATGTATAAATATATTTTTTCAAAAGTGTTTAGGTATCGAATTTTTCAGGTGTTCTCCTGTTGCCCATTCTTCGCTAAACTATCATGATGATGTTTAATGCCCAGACCAGTCAATACTTAAATTACCTTAGCTCCCACCTGGGGGGGAGAATAACGCTCATAGTGGGAAATTATGCTGTCAAACTGAAATGAATTTAGTAATAAGCTGTCACTTTCGGTGTAAATGTAACATCAGAACATGCCCATGAAATATATCATGGCAAGGACAGCAAGACTGCGCGTGTCGTTGGCAAGAGGCTTGAACATCATACAGGTGACAGTACGACTTTGCTCAGTTCCGCCCCCAATTTTGACAGAGAGCTTCCTGGGGAAGCTGGGTCCGGGGTTCTCTCACTCCTTTTCCCCTACCAGCAACATCTAGAGAGGACTTTTGGCTCATCGCATATTAAGAGTGCTCCCATGCTGCACAGACATTATACATTTCAAATATCCCTGCCTTCTCAGGAATTCGAACCCGGGCTCTTCGGTACAGCAGTCAGCGTCGCTAAGTATTGTCCCGGTTGGGCGGCAAACACCTATCTTCTCTATAAAAACGAACATTAATTTAAAAAAACATGTAAAAAAAACTGAAAAGTTTCAGACGTTTACGTCCAAAAAGGCGTTTTTTTTAACATTTTGTGTGTTACCTTTATTTATTAAATATCATGTTTTTCGTACTTAAACCATAAAATTCACTTCAAGAGCAATAGCAAAATAATTTTCAATTGAGCATATCTTTAGAACTTCTGATACACAGTCTTGCGCGCTGGATATAAAAATGTTTTTTTTTTTTTTTTTTTTTTTTTTTTTTTTTTTTTTTTTTCTGTACAACGTTGCCATTGCTCGCTTTGGAATCCCTGAGTTTGTTAATCAAAAATTCGTTAAAGTTTTACAAAATAGGAAATCGATAATAAAATAAATTCCAAATTTCAAATTTGGGCTTCCAGATGTCTATATTCGCAGCAGGATTACGTCATTCAAAATTGGATGGCTCTAGGTACCGTTGTTTTATCACAGTGCAAGAAACATACATACATTTATGCAGATTCTTTATTATTTAATTTCTTCAACTATAATTTCTTCAAATACAGCCCGATAATATTTGGTGGCAACAGTTTGAAAAGTGAATTATACATTCAGAGTGATTCGACGCAAAATCGCAAAACGGAACAATAGTCCCTCAGGGGCTCCTTTGGACTAATGAAATTTAACAAAATAATTTCTGGCCAAAATTTCTTTTTAATTAACGCAACGGATAAAATCTCTTGAATTTTTAAAGCTTCAGATTTATTTCACGAAGCTCTTTTATCGTAAAATCTGAAACGGTAGATATATATGACTTGTCTCAACTTTCGCAAATGCATAATTTATAGTCTTTAATATATTTTCGAGAATTTGCTTTAAGGTACCGCAAATTTGGTTATTGCAGTTTGAATCAAAAAATCATAACTCTTTTCCAAACAAATTCTGCAAGTCATACATTCTGAAGTTAAAACGTAAAGAATTATAACACTTTAATTATGAAACTTTGCTAATTTAAAGACATACTTTCCCCTTAGCTCACGCTGTTAATACTAACGCTATTTATACTTAAAATAAAGTTGTAAAATGTTGTTATTTAATTATTGTTATCTGTGCTTTGAGTTTTTCATAGTTAAGTACGATTTTTACAGCAGTGTGTATGTACTTGCAGTACTTGGCGCCGAAATGGCAGAACTGGACATAGTACCAGAAGATTCGAATGGAAACTGTGCGTTTCGAACGCCAACCACAGAACATATCCGAGAATCGTCGGTAGCTCAGTATTTGACGGAACACTCCCGCTTCTCTCGTCAATGGTTCGTTCGCAATGCTACTCCCGAAATGATATCTGAATGGCTGCTTGGGCACGGATACGGACCAGATCTGGAGCTGCTGGACAATGTATCATCTTTGACAGATTCCTACGCAAGGGCCACCAGCAGTGGCAGAAATTCGGTCACTTCAGAGCTATTTCAAGACATGGTCATTTGTCCCAAGAAAAAGAAGTCGACCATGTCCAACAATCTGTAAGTAACTGTCCAATTTTTCTCCCGTTTTCATTACCTTAATTTCCAGATTTCTTGGTGCGAAGTTTAAGCGAAATCAAAAGTAAATGCTATACGCTTTGTTTTCAAGCTCAGAATGCATTGAAAGAATGCAGGTCAAATCACGAAAAAGAATCTGATGTGGACACCACTTGGACTGCCTTGTACGACCTATTAAATTATGCTGCATATCATTTAAAACGCTGTAATACATTTGAACCTATTCAAGCGAATTATTCCAACTTAATTAACCAATCCCTCGAGGTACGTTGGAAATGACATCAAAAATTTCAAATTTTGTTATTAATTTTTTTTGGTCAATTCTTGTCGTAAGAGGGTCAAACTTCTTTATTTTCTTATAACGGGTATAAAACTTTCCCAAATATAAGTATAGGAACTGAGAGACCGCATTAAAAGTTAAATTTCGTTATTTGTCAAAATATTTTTTTTTTCAGTTTGGCACTAATAAGATATGAAAATTATCATCATTTAAAACACTTCTGTAACTGAAAGTGTATGACCATGACCAACGACTGCGAAAATAAAGGCCTGGTAAGGATTTTTAAGCTGCATAAGGGGAGGACGTGTATATATTCCTTTAGTATTATCGATTGGAATAAAAAGCGGAGATGCACAACTAGATATTATAACAGTCCATATGCAAAATTTCAACGTTCTACGACTAATCGTTTTTGAGTTAGGCGAAATAGATACTTTCCTAAGTACAGACATCCATTTAAAATCCATTTTGAATCCATTTACTATCCTTTTTGGAATAAAGAGTAAATTATTCTGTCCGTACCTACAGATGCCACTCAAAAAAGTAAAAAAAAAATGGATTCGGGAACAGCCAAAATTGATAGTTCCCTTGAAATCTGATAATCAGACTAAAATTTTCCGCCATTACAGTAAAACTTTTACTACGTCCAAGGACGTAAAAATAATAATCTGTGATTGCCTGAAGTTATTTAAAACACGTTGAAGTTGATATGAAATATAACTCTTACGGAACATAATTTTCCCACAGAAGCGGTTTACATTTAATTGGTAATCCTTGATGTAAATTTTCTTCATGTGAAATGAAAGAAATGTAGGTTCGAGGAATATAAGGATCTACCACAAGTTCCATTATTAGTATTATTTTTTTGAAATTTTTACTCATGCTTTGCGATTTAAAGGCGAGTCATCATAAATAAAGTTGAAAAACCATCATAGGTTAAGTTGGCCTTGAAACTTTAATTCTTTAAATATTTATCCTAAACATGCGCTTCTTATTATGAAATTACCTAAAATAATGTGCGTAACTGTATGAGAAAAATTTCAGCACAGAGATAGGAAGATTCTGTAAATTAAGGTCCAAATTTGTTTTCTTATGTTTTCTGTAGAACAAAAAGTCAAGTCTGTTCATCTTTTATTATAAGTTAAAAATTTAATTTTAAGCAAAACGCTTCTTATTTTCACGAGGAAAATTCCCAGAGATATTATATAATAATTAATATTTATTCTGACTTGGCTTCAATTAAATTAATGTGCGATTTTAACCAAATAGACGGAATATTAATTGCTGTAAACTATCAACTTTTGCTTCGTAGTTTCTCCGAAATTTTCGAAATTTTGAGCATATTTTTAGGAATGTTTAATTTCGAATCACAAATATGCATTGGAAAGTAATGTCATGTAAACTAAATGTGTTCACTAATATCTCTGAGAGTTCTGAACGGAAATATATCTTTATTTACCTTATTAAAATATTATAATATTTTACTAACTGGAAATTTTACACTACGAAGATAATGTAAAATATTGGATTTGGTATTTTCACAACATTCACAACCACTTCACTGAAAACGGTCTTATAATAATGCTAACTTATTATGGGGAATTTTGTAATTCGAACAGCTTAACTTGTATCAATATTTAAGTAAAAAAAGCCTGCAACCTTTTTTTCCGAACACAATGTATGAATAATATTAACAGGCGCATCCTATAACATTTAACCATAGTCAGCTATATATTATAGCAGAGGAAGGGGAAGAAGACGTAATGCCAATCTTTTAAGTTTATACCTATATAAATGGTATACCTTGAAAATCTATTTTGTCAGTGATCAATCAAAACATATGAGTTAATGGACCGCTGGAACATCATCAGTGGATGTCGTAAATTATATTAATATTAATCAAAGTACCGAACAGTTAAGAAATCTTGTCCTGAGAAAAAATGAAAAACAAGAGAGGCAAGATATTTGGCTAAGCTGAAAAATATCAAACTTAACCTGTTATGTCCTCCTCCATTGTTTTATAAACGTGAAAACCGTCTAAGTCAGAATATAAAGTCTCCCTAACTTCTGTGTGAGTAAACTGTGATCGCTAAAATTATGACTGCTAAGTTATTAATTTATTTATTTTACAAATGCTAAACATTAGCGCTTAAGCCATTAGTTAATGGGATTTTTAGCAATATCCTCATATTGAGAAAGTGCAATACAATTATTTAAATGTTCAAAATTCATAAGCTGATGGGAGTCACACAAAATACTGTTTGAGGAATCCACCACTCCAATTCCGTAGAAGTGGTCTTGCAAACAGTCATATCCGGTCATACGTCTATAGCTTCTGCTGTCTTTCTTGAAAAACTGGGAATTAACGTTATCTCTTCCCCCCAAATCCTCCATCTCTTATCCGTAATTTATGAAAGTTTGTCATGCAAAATATACTTACGTTATTTCATATAAATTAATGATTCCAATTTCTATCGTAAATGTTGAAATTGACCGACCACTGTTACGTCTGATCGGGATTCACACTATAAGTATTGTAGCGGGACATGCGAAAATGATGTTACAATATTTTAGAGAGTGTACAAAAGGCACTAAGAGATGCCGAAAATCAGGGTATCCTTGTTACCATATATATAAACCTAATTTCATTAAAAGTAAATCTTATTAATTGTGGTTTCACCGTTATTATCTTTTATTTGTAATTCCTGATTTTACCAAACTAGAAGGCCTCGCTATACTTATAAACAAACATACCCATCAACAAACGTATCATCATTAGGGCTGTCCTCTTGAGATAACCAGTGTGTTCTGCACTGGTGGCTCAGGGTGCCTAGACAGTTACTCGAAAAGGCCTCCGTTCCTTGCATAAGGTAACTGGACTTTGTGAACTGCATTAATACATTCGATAATTAAAAAAGTATAATAATAATAATAGTATAAAACAAATTACACTTATAAGGTATTTCTCCCGCCTTCCTAGCGTGCCTTCGTGGTGTAGTGGTTCTGCACGCCGGGCCGGTACTCCAGAAGTCCGTGGTTCGATTCCCGGCGAAGGCAATTGCTCATTTGTCATCTTGCCTGCTTCCCAAAAAAACGTCCTAATGTCTCTACACACTTAAATCATAAAATGAGATCCTTCAACATTATCTTATATGAAGAGGGTAAAAGGAACAACTGTACAGAAGTAATAATAGACCTCTGTTTTGGAACAAGTACTCCCTCAACATACTCTATACTTAACATACAATCATCCATAAATTAACATGCATTTACAATATTTTCATATTACTTATCTGTACTAATTTCACTTATTTTTTATATCCACTTCGTTTTTAGAATAATTATAAAATTCGTATTCAGAATTTTCAACAAAATTTCAAAAATATAAATTGAAATAAAATATTTCAAAAATATAAATTGAAATAAAATATTTCAAAAATATAAATTGAAATAAAAACTTTACTTAATAGCCTTCCCTAAAATAGTTTAAAATGTAAGACTGCTTTACTCACTTTACTAAATTATTAGAATTCATATTTCTAATATTATTAAATTATATTTTTTCATATTACAGTGTTACATTTTCAATGTCCAATTTATTAACAAAAATATCAGTTCCCAATGTGGATTCAATTCCGCAAAAGCAGAAGTGAAAATAATTTTCTGGCACCTAACTTCAAGTGTAAATTTAATCCTTTAACTTGAAAATATCCTAATTCATTCGCATATGAGCAAGATCAAGGTATGCAGTCCGATGACCTTGAAAGCACTGGAATGATTTGAAACGTTAGCACTCGGAAAACATTCGTCATTTTACTACGAGTATAAACAAACGCTGAATTATTTTTTAAAGGTTGGCACTAGATTTCATTTTTAAGCACTCTCAGCAGTTGTCTGATTCGATTCATTTTTCAGGTTTTCATATCGCTGTTGAATCACCACATAAGCTGGATTAAATTTCGAGGTATGGATTTTGACTTAAAACATTTAAAATTTGTAAGACACTTGTTTTGGCACGATTCTGTGTAGTTGACTTGCTGATTCCAGGTTGTTCACATAGATTGACGATTGACGGAACCGTGGATATCTTGAAGATTAGATCATGAAGGCATTAACTACCTAATTCTCTTTCACAGTCGTAGCCACAATGTTGATGATAACACTCCTGTGAAGCACAGGCACACTTTGATGATTTAAAACACCTTTTTTTTTTCTAAAGATATAAAAGATGGCCGTTTTCACTGACGTTAGAACTTTTCGACTTACAAATAAGCAGACACATTTATTGAACTTTTGTAGATATTTTACGGAAATCCACTTGGGAAATAATGTTCCATTCCGCAAGCGAGATTCAATTATAATACAATCAAACTCAGAGGGTAACGACTAGTAGAAATTTTGATGGCGTAGAAATGTTGATCCATAAAGAATAGGAAATCGGAGGTGAAGGCAGATTAAATCTTCATGTTTTATTTCAGCAAACCTGTTGTGGACACAATTAAGTTGGCGCATTATTGTGCTTGTACCAAAAAGCTTACATTTTAGATAATTTTGCAGTAAGAAAGGAGGACAGACAGACTGCAGTCTAGCTAGGCAAAAGCATAGAAAGAAGAGCGTTGTGTTCAAGTTGAAATCTTAATTTAGACTGAGTTAATTTTGCTTCTCAATGCATTTTGATTTGATAGTTAATATTACGGTTAACTTAC